GGAGTCTGTGCAAGGAAAACAGTCTAATGCCACCTGGGTAAAGCAAATCAAATGACAGATATGTATATTGTAATATGACAATGAAGCTAAAACTGCTCATGCATAAAAAGAGAAATTAACATTGTAAAGGAGAGACATAGGGTCTTGTCACCACACATGAATGTTCATGTACATCTGGCCTACAAGCCAAGCACTTGCCAAAGCAGCTGCTCATGTAAGCCTGATGCCCATATTTAGGCCATATGATTGCTGTGAATCAACCAGATCAAGGGGTTACCATGAAACACAAATCAATAATAAAAACAGATCTCTTAAACTCTGACAGAATCCCAATGTATAAGGCAATATGAATGAAAACCCTCCTTTGTGAACACTACAAAAATATCATTAATTGTTTATCTAAAATTTATAAAACTGTACTAATTTACTTTGTACCTACATGTAACTATTAGCTACTTTCTCCTACATATATGGCCTTCTTTGCCAGTAAAAAATTTCTGTCATCATTTGATTATTGCAATGAGTAATGTTATCTATGAAAAAGGTCTCTTTGCTATACCTTATAATCTTTATTTACATATGATATGCGCCAATCATCCCCTGGCTGAACCAAACGTGAAAATTCTGATTCTGGCATAAATGCAGTCCATCCATCTTCAAGTATTTGGTACATTGCTCGGTAGAAGAATGGATACTGGAGTAGAGGCTCCTCTGCAAAAAGCAAATCTTTATTATGAAAACAACATATTGATTAGAATAACCATATGGCAATAAACAAACTTTATATAAAAAATCATAAACGAGCATATTAAATATCACAGTCCAATTGTGATAACTGATAAACATCTTAGATGATAAGTTTAAAGTGAATGGGCTGTAACATACCAACACGTATAAGATCTTCTAATGTGTCAGCCACTTTGGCAAACTGATCTGCACCAATAACATCAAGCTGGAGTATTCTCAGATCTTTGCATTTGAGCCAAAGTGTCCCTCCTGTCATGCCCTGCTGTCTTCTCTCTACAGTATCAATGTTGCTATGGAGAAGCTGTTGAATGCAATTGGAGATTATAATGAAACAAAGTTTTGGGTTATAAACTAATTCACTGTTTGTGAGTAGATGACTAAATCAAATGCTTCTGTAAAACATACTCCACAAACCATAATAAACAAAAGAGCTTTTATCTTCATGTGGGTCATCACATTTGTTTGAAGCTATGAACAAATGATAGCCAAGTTCATGCTTTGTGTGATCAGCTAAAATACACTCAGAAAGTATTCAAGGAATGATGTACCATAAAACATGGCTCAAGCAAGAGAAGCAAATATAGTCAAAGATGAAATTTTTCTTAGTTTTTAATAAAGCCAAATACATAACATTAATTACCCATAATTCTTGGGGTTCTTTATCACAAGAAGATACAATGAGATGATGTCCTGTGATACACAAAGTTCCATCAAGCACTGGGTGATGAGGACGATGAAGCATAACACGATCGCATCGTGATATACGAATCAATTCTGCAAATTCCATTCTGCAAGAGAAAAGGATGATACAATTATCAGCTGAATAAAGCCCTATTCTTTTGTCTATCTCATCTGGCATATATTTCTAAATCATGCAAAATGAATATTGGCAAAATTAATATAGGATGTATTAAGTTTTCCAACTTCTGTAACCCTCACATTTTCTCCATGCATGACTGGAAGATCAATATTTACATAACATTAGTCCAGTGACTGTTGAGGAGCATGGTACTGATGTCAAACACGGGCTCTGAATTAAAATTCTTCTACTAAAGTATAAAGAATTTAAGATACTACCTTGCTTTTTAAAACATACATTTTCTTTTAAATTCAAATACCTATTTTCTTCTTCTTGCATATACTTCATAGTCATTATGATGTAGGCTAGCTACTTTACAGACATAATTTATAGTCTAAATGCTTATCATGTTTACCTATCATTTTGGTAATTTGTTTGATTCAATATCTAGAACAAGTAACACATAAGAAAACCTAATGTACATTTCATCCTGCCATATACTGATATATCAAATGAACAATATTAAGAGTAGGCACTTGGACATATTTTTCAAGTGTTCTAGATCACCTCAATTTAGGTTTTAATTAATTAACTCTTGAAGTGCTAAAAAATGATACCTCATATCAAAATCAGATCAGCAGTTGTGGAGTAAACACAATTTAAAGTTCTAATGAACGAGCTTCTTGTTAATTGGATAAAGCATTAGAAGTCTGTGAAATACTTGTCACAAAAATAAATGTTTTGTCATGCTTAACAAAATGCAAATAACTCGTTTGTTTGAGAAGTTGGACAGGAGAAATTTTGCATAGTTATCCTTGAGTACTTCAGAGTGAAATTCATGCCATAGTACGTTCTAATACAGATGCCTTTGACTTTGACCTTCAGGGTCAAACAGAGAAAACAGCAGCCATAGCAAACAGGTTTCTATCATGGCAGCTCCCATTGAAAGAGTGCAGAAAGAATGAGCATCAGGAAACTTACTAGAAATAAAGTTCAAACCCTAAAATACACATGCATATGTAATTCATGGCGTATCACAATATCTTGGGAGCACATTTTTTTGGGTAATTCTACCTACCAAATTCAAATTCTTTAAAAAACGAGGTGATTCGCGACATTCCTAACTGCAAAATGACAGCAGTTCCTGCGAGTTTTGAGCAGAGCTAGCTTCCACAAAACTGTATTTTCCTACAAAGGCAGTGCGATGGGAGAAAAAAATGAAGATGTCATAATAATGGCCGCAATCAACACTCGCAGAATAAGAATTGTCCAAGTGCCTACTGAAAGATAAAAATTAATGAAAAAGGACAATAGAAAATATTTCAATAAGAAATGTAGAGGCAGCAGTGTAAATCTCCAGGTCTCCCGAAGAAAGTAACAAATGTTGAAAAACAAAAACAGAGACAGGAGTAAGACAAGAATTTTGTTGCCAGGTCTTTTTTTTATGATTTAGAACATGGGCCTATTTTATTGTCTCTGGCATATCATGTCTTCCTTTCCCCCCTTTGATCTTCAATCACCCCTTATGCTGACTCCCAATTTCTTAACAATGGTTACTAATTTTACTTTTCTTTTCTTCTTCTTTTAGGTGTGTGTGTATGTGCAGACTACGGCTGTCAATCAGTGGTTGATTTATGGTTTATATATGTTTTAGACTGCATTTTTCAATGCACATCTGATGGGACTAGACCATCATTTTTGCAGACGGATCTGTGGACGGATGATGAAACAAGTGCGCGGAAAGGTTAAAAGAATTTTATGCATGGATGATGGTTTAAAAAAAAGAACTAAGCATACATGGAAAGTTACCCGAAAACTACATTTGCGCAGACAGAATTTGACCAAACAATTTTTATGTAGGGAACGCATTCCCTGCGCAGACCAAACTCTACAGATAGCTTCTGCCATCTAAATTTGTCTAAATTCTCTTATTTTTCACATTTCAGAAATAAGGCTTACAAGTGTTTGCATGCATGACACAAAAAGACTGAAATTAGTAAACTAACAATATATTACCTCATGAATGGCCGCCTGACCATAATGACCTTGGGTCCCAACCCCCTCCATTCGTGAGTAGGGGGCAGTCGCCCCCATCACCCCCGTTTCCTGTGCCTATGATACGTGAAAGCATTGGTATTGTAACTGTTTACCAAGTGACTGCACCCACCTGGTTTACTCCAATCAACAACCTTGGGGGCATTCCTGAGAAACCACAAACAACGACATATGAACCAAAGTCCTTCCTAAATCAAGGATTTTGCCCCCAGAACCCCACCCAATCACTGTCCTTCCCTACTTGAGGCCCCCACATGATTGCCCTCTATCCTTTCGCCAGATTGAGAGGGAGACGAGATAGAGATAGCAAAATACAAAAAAAAGGCGAAAAATTAACATACATACAGACGGTTATATAACACTTAACAATGATGACAGTAATACACACACATTGGTGCAAACGTTATTCGCATTGTTTACGCAACTATTAGGATAATCTAAGTTTCCTAAAGAAGGTGAAACAGATTTAGAAATAGCGGGTCTGCCTTTGACAGCTTGACAGTCTCGACGCCTCTCAACCAACCTTCAAGCTTGTCCTAATATCGCTTCTCAAAATGCGAGGAAGAAGTAGAACCTGAAGCAGAACAGCGAGCCTGATCGAATTCCCTTTCCTTGAAAGGTTGACAGCCAGACGCCCACCTCCCAGGTCGAGCTCGAAGTCAACAGCTGATTATTGACAAGTGACAACAACACTCAGAGAATACGGGATTATTCACTTTATTTCGGCTTTCATGATTTTTATTGACATATCTAAATATGGTATTTTAGAGTGAAAAGTTTATGGATACATATGAAACTGGAATGATGAATATAAAATATGTCGATATATCATTATGACGGAGGAAATATCAGAATCATATTTTTCAGACCGGAACGAGTGGAATAATATCTTTTATTATATTTAATATTGTACTGTGTACTTGAATATCAATCTAATTTGCCAGGAGCCAAGATGCTTTTATAATCAAGTAGGAGACATAAGCCTGAATTATGATCAAGACATTGTCAATTACTACTGACACAAATTATTTTTTCTTATATATTTATCAAGTTCTGAAAAATGTCACCTGGCACATAAAATCAATAATTTTGGAAAAAATAATATACGAATAGTTAAAATGCTTGTAATTCCACAGACGCACACTGTGCACCAATGAAGAATTAATCGCTGTATCTTAACACTAAGAATATCTAGAGATATAATATATCATAAACTAAGAACTATATAAACTGTTTTTACATTCAGTTAAGGCTATGAAACGTCCTAGTTCCAGGAATATATCCGAGCCAAGAAAGCAGAAAATCTAATGACTCGAGAGATGAGAGAAGTAGCAACATTCTTTGGCCCGCGGTCTCTTCCCAGGCTCTCCCGCACCACCTGATAGTTGTGACTCACTCGCAGACGGACAGTGAACCTCGTCAACTTTTCTCAAAGCTTCACCATGAGTACAACACCAGGTAAGTAAACAGACGCCACGATCGCACATGCTCACCGGGGAAATGCCAGCTAAAGAAAGTGTAAAAGACATATAGGAAAGTTTGTATCAGGTTGTCAGAACGAAAGCATGAGTTGTGTGGAAGTTGAGCTGATGCAGGCACAGTACTGGGTAACTGTCACCGTAGTGGAGGCGGCGATCGCAGCCGTACAGGTGAATGGCCTGCCTGCACCGTATTTCGCTTTTCACACTGGCACCCTCTTAAATGGGGGATCTTGGACATGCCTTGATCTGGTAACCTTACTACATGTTTTCGCGAGCAGGCTGCCCATTGCCACACCATATGACGGGGACAAAATGTAAATTTATGGATCAGATGCATTGCCAACGCGCTGGGAGGGACAATATCACGCTTAGGGTGTACTAAACTGGAGAGACTTTGGGCAGAGACTTCTGACAGTTTCTTTCTTCTCTTTCCATATGGTACCAACAAAGATTGGAAATAAGATTTTAAAGGGACCATTTCAGAAATTAAAGACTGGATCATTTTTTGGCTGCATGACTTTTAAAGTCATTTACTTCCTTCTACCTTTGTTAGAAAGTTTATCCAGCCAAAACATATGTTTGTTACCAGGGATGGGAATGAGGGATTTGATGGGGAATGGACGGCTGCTTGTAATCTTACCCTTATGGAATTGTGTGCTTGCAGGAATTTTAATTGTTCTGGTATTTTTTACTAGTTTGTCCTTAGATACAAACATACAACTGCAGTTTAAACTTTCCATCTTATTCTGTTTGTTTTTCTTTTGACTGCTGCAAAGCTTATGTATTTAGTATTTTTCCTTTATTCAGTTGGGCTTCAGACATTGTTATGAATTGGTCATTTTCAAATATCATGTGGCAGTTTGTTTACAGTATTAGTAAACAGAGGAGGGGGGGGGAAGGAAGTACAAACTGATTGAATTTTTCTTTGGGAAATATAAGTTGGTTATATGAGATGTCAACTATACAATATTTTATTATTTATGGTATATTAGATTTATATTATCATATTGTTTATAAGATATCAGTTATATTGATTCTGATTCATAAGTTATTGAATTAGAAAAGAGCAAAATATTCCAGGCTTCTATGTATACATATTTTTAAGCTTGTCATTTGGGAGAGGATTTGCTGCTTTACGCAAAAGTTATTAAACATATTGAAGATATCAAATGTTATGTTGTAATGATTATTTAAGAAATTATTTATGTATTCTTTCATTTTGTTTTAGATTCTATTGGATTTGCATTTTTAGATATGAAATAGAATTAAATGAATCCCTATTCAAAAAAATCTAATTAAAAAGGAAGTTTGGTATAAATATTTCTGATTATATTCATATTTATATTTATTTATCTGTATTTCTACTTTTTTTTTACAAATTGAATTTCCCAAACTGTGGGGGCTACTTTCGGAAATAAAGTATATGTATTTGTTTTGTTTGTCTTTGCTGAGGTAATATCATTTTGTCTTTCTTTGTCCTGAATAGAAAGTTTTACCAAATTATTTTTTTCACTGTTTAAATATATTTTGAAACAACTGACATTTCAGTATTAGGTAGAATATTCTTTTGGCTGATGAAAAAAATATTTGAGTAATGTCTTCTTATCTGCAACCATGATAGAATGATGAAAATGGGCCTCTCTTCAAAAGAGGAATAGACAAAAGGACTACTCAGTGGCACAAAAGGAAGTTTTAAGTCTTCCAACCATTTGCTGTGAAGCTGGTAAAGAAAATTTCATTTACAGTAGAAGGCAAAATTCATTCATTCATTCATTTTATGGATATGTTATTGTATGTAAATTTTCATGCTGCAAGGTATCATGAAACCTATCTAAAAGGGGTGTGCCAAGGATGTCTGGTTGCTGTTGACAATATACAGTTTTGCTAGGAACTCCATTAATTCCTAGCATATATGTATAGAGCCAGTCACCTTCCATATTCAGAATTTAAGCTTTGATTTACCTGATATTTGCTTGTATACTTGGCAAAAGCATGAGGCCCAGAAATGTAAGCATTTGTAAGGGAAGAAAGTTTGTTAAAGCAATTTCATCACTTCATAAAGTGTATAACTTTTTCTGAAATCCTGTGACATGGTATTTAACTTCTTTATCTCCATATATGATGCACCAAAGGTGTTCAGACTTGAAAACAAATTTTACTACTTGTGTAGTACACACACAAGATAGGTCATTTCATTAATTATGAGATCATAAAGAATATATAGTCTGTATTCTTAAACCAGCTATGTCAATAGATGAATCATGTTTTACATGATCTGTGTGTACACATTTAATGTCCAAGTCTTTTATAGCCTTTGTTTAAGCATGAGTAGAATTGAGTGGGGAACATCCTTGATGGTGAAGGAAGATGCTGTATGTGCTTGGCTTTAGGGAAAGTCCGAGTTGGCATCCAGTTCTT